TCGCAATGATTATTCCCGCCGTTAGCGATTTGCAAAATACTAACATAGTTTAAAAATTCAAGTGCTCTTGGGGAGATTGTATCTCCAACGGATTAAATAATATTTATTTTGGTCACACCACAAACTCACTTTCACGACGCTTGACTCTACATTTGAATGATAATTGTAACATTTTTAGGCTTTTAAATCAACATGCCTGGCCGCATACACAATTCCGGAAAATCCTTGTTGAAAACACAACTATACTTAAATATTAAAACTAAACAAAAACTAAAAATTCTTGAATCTATATACATAAAACTGTTGAAACCTAACCTGAACAAAATAAACTATGAAAACCCCACAAATATACCTCAATGCCTACAATAGATAACAGAAGCCATTGGTTTATACTAACGGCTTCCCATACTTAACACTTCTCGTTTTCACTCTCGCGTGGCCATGTGTGATGTCATGAGCCTCAGTGCGATTTTCGCTTCCAGTGGCTCGTATGCACGAGTTTGTAGTTGCTTGGAAATCTTCCATGCAAACAAAACAGACTATCATTGTTGCTATGTCTGTGTATTGTTTAATTTATTGTAATGTCTTTGTCATCTCTGATGAAGGCTTATATAAGCCGAAATCTGAGACAGGATTAAAAAACATGTATCAATATGGTGATTTTCTTTCGTCTTTCAACGATAATGTTATTAAGCTTATTAGACGATATGAAATGAATTTGCATAAAATAAATAGACAAAACTTGTCTATATTATTAATGAAAGATGCATTAATGAAAAAATGCTGCCTAAATACACACAATTATATATATATATAAACATACAAAGTTACAAACATAAACATATATTTTTTAGTGTTTGACGCAAAATAAATGTCTATTTTAAGACAACTGGCGACATTTAAATATGATTCCATTTCTATTGTTCAATAACTGGCTTGTATTTTTGTATTTAATTATTTTTATCTTTTTCTTCAAGGTATAGATTGCATCTCTTTCTGAAGCTGTTAGGTGTAATGAGTTACTGATGATGTTGCATTCGATCTGGAGGTGAAGCTTCTATCTTTCAATTTTCAGTAAATGTTTGAGAGAACAGTTTGGTATTTTAAAGAAGTGTCAGAAAATAGATGTTTATGTTTATAGAACCTCTGTTTCCAATTCCCAGTTTCTAATTCCCAGTAGAAATTCCAATGTACACTTTTTTATCATTTTTATTTTCCTTTGGAATGATGGTTGCCTGGTATAGAACATTTTCAGATTTACATATACCTCCAACAGGGTAGTTGCTTTTGGTTCTACAATTGCTAGAGGGCTTGTTAGTTAACTGCTGTTTTTTTTTTTTTTTTTTTTGTTATTATAAAAATCTATGTAATTATGCGTAATAATATTATAAAGATTGTTGCTGCAGGAATAACTGATTTTTTATTTTTTAAACTTCATGTATCAGGTTGTTCTGATTAAAATGTTTATCGATCAATTTAAGAAAGTGTTTACAAATATTTATGTTAGATTGTTGGCAGAAAGGTGATGATTAAACCATATTACTTTTATTTTCTATGTTTGGGTCTATTATTTTTATTATTACTTAATTAATATTGGTAAAATAATTCTTGTTTAAAGGCACTTTTTTTAGGGATTCATTATGAGATTTTTATTTTTATTTCCATTGAAAATTTTATTATTAAAAGATATGTTAATTCAAATGTTTACCGTGGTTGGAATTTTCTAATTATTGAATTGTTGTGATTAGAGTGGACGTTAATAGAAATAGGAGTTTGATTGTCTTTGTGAAATGGATTAGATATGTTGTTCGAAAGGGTGAAAATGATTTACTATTTCAAGGTTAGATGAGATTTTTTAATTTTAAACCCAAAGAACTTGAAATCTATTATAATCTCTTTCAGTATATCAGAAAATAGTGGACCATTACTATCTAGGATAAACATGAGCTCATCATCTCTGTATAGACCAACCTATTTAGGATCAATAATCCTAATAAGGATGTCTAATATAGAGACATTTTATTGTATCGGAAGAATATTTCCAAAGATTATTATATGTTTTTTTTGTATCGTGTGAATTTTTCTTTTAATTATGTTTTTTAGAAATTAAACTTAGTTTTGCTTTGGAAGGTTTGATCAGACGTGATTATTAGTTGTTTTCCAAGTTGGGTTTGTGGTCCTTAAATATCAAATATGCATTTTTCTTGTGGATTTTCTCCATTCTGTCCTCAATTTTGCAAAATTATCAGCATCTTTGTTAATTATTGAAACCGTATTGTTATTATTATTATTATTGTTGTTGTTATTGTCGTTGTTGTTGTTTTTTAGTTTGTAAGTATTGGTTATTTTGTTTGAGAGAAGTTTGTGATAGTTTGATGGGTTAATTTTATAAATATTTCTCGATTTGTCAGCTCTTTTTTGAGTTTTTAGTAATTCTAATTTCTTTGTTCATATCATGTTGGAATTGATTAGATGATTTTCTAAAGCTAATTTTGTTTAA